GCAGCAGTCTTGCTGTAGAGCTATGCCAGTCCCTAAATCCTCAAATCACTGCCTTTAGGACATCACCACCTCCTCCCTAACAGTGAACAACTTTCTCATCCTTTCCAGACTCAGTGCACTGCATTTACCTACATTATAATACATTCATATTTGAAAATGGTTAACAGGGATACAAAAGTACAAACATGTGAAGAGAAATAATCACTTGAATGATTAACTATAAGAAACTGGAGGTAGCAAATGAAACTTACAAGTAACAAGCTAAAGAGTTAATTAGATCCTTTTTCACAAAACAGATATACAAGTACCGGAACTGAGTAACATGAAGTTACTAAAAATTTATATAGATTTAAGACAGAAATTGGATAAATCAACTGACAAGAAATTCAAAGTATGTCAAACACAAACACTATGTCTCTGGCTCAGAAAGTCGCCAAGCTGCAAACCAGTGAAGGCATATAAACATCCTAAAGGAGTACTTGTGCCACTTGTTCCACACCCCCAAACACAGTGACATACGGGATATTGGTGAGGTGGGACAGACACATCTTTGATCTGATGTAATGAGGGTGAACTTGTGATCTCCTTCCGACTATTTCATGCACTATTCCACACTGCTGAGCAGCTAACCTATCATTCCAACCAGAGGCCTCCTGGTTCAGCCACCCTGTCAGCTGCAAACTTCACCAAAGATTTCTAGATTTTATACTTCATGTCCAGAGCCTGACAAAGATACTGCATTCAAATTAACAAGCACAGTATTTCTTCAGGTATTAAACTTTTCTTTACTCTGAAAAGTCTGTTCTCCAGATAGGTTTTACCCTAAAAAGGGAGAAAACATACAAGATGACAGTAAATATTCACTTAGATGAACCAAAATTAAAAGGACTTTAATTTTTTAATATAGTAACTAAATAATAATCAGTCACCAGCAGTAGAGATATGCAAAAGTTCCCTGTCCATGCAAATTATTCAGACTAAATGTGAAATTTCTTCACATGCTAAGAGAACACGTGTTTAAGCACTAAAGAAAAAAGTTAATTTTATTTTAAATAGTAACTGTTTATCAAAGAAATTGTTGAAGAAGTATTATATCTGTGTATCTATGAATAAAAAAATATGAAAAAACAGTGGTCCGTATTTGCTTCTAAAGTTTAAAAATAGAGTGAATCTCTGAACTGATGAAGGCACTGTCAAAGTATCTTAAACAAAGAATTTATTAAAGGACTAAATTGGGTTTTGGTATCTGCAGCCTCTTGCATAAATACAGTGCACATGAATGAAGTGTTGAACTGAAGTACAGAAAAAGAACTTGCAAGAAGAACTATCTAGTTTTTAATTTCTATATCATACTTAAAAGTCTACTGATATAGACAAGAGAGAAGAGTTATGTCAAAGGTGAAAAAAATATTACCTCTAAAAAAAAAAGAATGGGACACTAAAAGACAAGTTTAATTTACAAATTAAGATGTTAATGTAGAAGTATTCCTTCAGATTAATTAAAAAAAAAAAGAAGCCATATCTGGTGGAGAAATCATTTAAAATAGCTGCGAAATAAATCTCAATAGCCAATAAAGAAAAATCAAAATGTCTTTATGAAAAGAACTAAGAAGTTAAAGACATACTAGATAACACTCAGAATCTCTTGGCACAACGACCCTATTTAAAAAAAAGGTTAAGATCAGAGAAAATTCAAATCATATTTAAAGTAAAAAGAGAAGATATCATTTTCAACAGTGTTCTCCATGTGAAGTATATGAAAAGGCTAGGAAAATGAGAAAGGAGAAAGATCTTTCAGCAATAAATAGTAAATTTAAAAACCTAAATTTCACTATATTTTAAATTCATAATCCACAATGACTGCAACAACCTTAAGGATCCACTGTGCAATAGGAAGCAGTATTTTTTCCAGGCACATTACATTTTCATAACACTATGACTACATTAGGATCACAACCTTCTCATTAGGCCATTTTCCCTTCCAGATTAGAAGGACAGTAGTTGCAGTAACTAAAATATTAACATGAATAGTTAATATTTCTGTTAATAATATTTACAGAATTTATACTGCAGAGCATGTCAACCCTGTCTCAGAGTCGTCAGCGAGGGACAACGGTGAAATTACAGAAGTCATCAGACATCCAACTAAAAGTGTTTCTCACTGGCTAAAAGTTTCCAACAGTAGGAACCTTGCCAAAAGCTCAAATGAAAACTGGACAAAGATGAGAATTCCCAGCATCCATCCTATGTTGCCATCTACTGGACCCCCACAAAACAGCCTTCAGCTCCCTGGGCAGAACTGGGGTAAGACTCTTTTTGCATGCCTTGCTCATGTACACACAGTGCATAAACAGTCATTGTAAAAGTCTCAAGCCACATACATCATAATTAATTTTTTTTAATAAATACAAATAATAGCTTAATTATCATAATGAAAACTCATATTACAGAGGTACATAAAAGGAACATGCTAACTGTAGAACACACATTTGATTAGTTACTTTCCATAGGATGAGCCTGGATTCACTTTAATACTACTGTCACTAGATCTCAGAAAAGCAGGTTCTGATTAACGGTTACAGTGAATATTCCAATAAGACATTTAAGCTGCCACTTAATAATAACTTTTTATACTAAAAATCAGAATGACATTCAATTAAGAATCAATATAGAAAATTAAAAAACAGGGACATCGATTTAATTTATTTATTTTACTATAATGAAAGATAAATGCAAAATAATATCATTGGGGGAAAAAAATGTTAAGACTCAAGAAATGTATCACAAAAATGATTATACTGCAATCAAAGATGCATCTGTAATCCGATGTGTTATTTCCATCCAACAGCCAGCAAGAGCATCAAGAGATCCAACAGCAAGCGCTTATTTGCCGGCATCTGTAAATGAAGCTTGGGTACAGTTTACAGTAAAGTTTTTATATTAACATCCTTTTAGTACTTGACTGCATGCTAGCAAGAGATGTCAAATCATTTCTTGAGTCTTACTAAACTCACAAACTTAATCATCTTACAAAAATACGTACATTCCTTTTTGTTTTATCTGTTTGGTACTTTTGACAGTGCAAAAACGAGCTAGCTTTTGGTGTTTCACATTTACTTTATATGCTTCCTATATTCCTTCCCAAACTGTTAGTTAGGGTAAACTTTATGAAAAAAAGTAAATAAAGAAAACTCAAGTAGTTACAGGTTCTGGGGCTTTTTCTGTGTTTGTATAAAAGAAGGGGAATAGCCTTTCTTTTCAACAGTAGCAAGAATCAAATACAGTACTTTGTAAGAAAATAGTTATGCAAAAAAGGCATCATCATAAGAAAAGTCTGTATTTCCCCCCCCACCCCCATCCCCATTCTTTGATCTCACAATTTTGATTTGGAACGTGCAGGAGTTCATGTTGACATGCCCAAGATGAAAATCAAGTCTCACTCCCAGACAGTTATAACTCCTCCAGAAAACAACATGTGCACTTAAACCATGTTATGCACTTTTAACAACCCGTTTGCTTTTCGTTTTTGTCAACACTGACTGTTCAGCCCCAACTCTTTTTACAGGTTAGACGTATTTATAGCTCATACCTGAGACTGACCCACTGGGCATGTTCACACCACAATGCATGGGGGTATCTGGGAATCTCCAATCTCTGTCTTCAGCTGGAGAGGATGGGTCAGTGAGAATGACTTAGTGCTTAGCAAGAGCTGGAGGGGAGAGACAGGGAGCCGCAACAAGAGGCGGCTCTCTCTCCTGTCGGATCTCCAGGCTCCTGACACGACCCCCTCACAGAGCTCGCCCCGAGCTCCCCCGGCTCTGCCCGCGCCCCCCCGCCCGCCGCCACCGCCCCCTCACCCCCCGCTCTCCCCGCGCCCCAGGGCGCCTCGCCCCGCGGGGCACCGCCCCCGCCCGCGCCCCCCGCCGCCCGCGCCCCTCCCCGGGAGGGCCCTCCTCCCGCGCAGCCCTCCCGCCGCCGGCCGCCGCCGCCGCCGCTTCCCCCAGCCCGGCAGTGGCGGCGCGGAGGAGGACGAGGAGGTGGGTGAGGGGAGCTCCGTCCTGCGCGTAACAAAGCGGCCGCTGCCATTTTGAGCCGCGGCCGGGCCCCGCAGCGGCAGCAGCGGCGGCGGCCAGGCCCTGCCCTTGCAGCAGGGGCGCGCCCTCACCTTCCCCGTAGTCCATGGCGGCGGCGGCGGTGGCGGCGAGCGCTGCTCCCGCGGCTCCGGCGGCTCCAATGGCGCCTTCCACCACAACGCGGCGAGGCGGGCCCGGCGCGTAGCACGCACGGCCACGGCGCGCGCCGATTGGCCCGGCTGCGCGTCACGTGAGCAGGGGCCCGGGACGACCGCTCACAGCGCTGCGCGCGGCTCCTGGACCAACCGGGTCACGAGGGAGGCTGCGCGGCGGCCATTTTGAGCCCTGGCAGCCGCCATTTTGTGTTCTGGCGAAGGGCTCTGTCTCACTTGAGGCCGCTGCAGGACGAGGAGTGGCAGAACATCCACACCTTCAGCCTCCCACAGACATGCCCGCGGGCCCTGTTGAAGTGGCCGCTGCAAAAAACGCTCCCTTGGGGTCAGGCATTGCCTGGCGGGAGTGAGCCCTCAGTGGCATCCCTGCAGCTGCACAGCCTCAGGCATGAGGTGCCCTGCCAGCTCCCAGTGTGCACTGCTGCGGTGTTGTGCAAACCAAGTGGCTTTACAAAATAAACCGTTTATTTAAGCAATGACTCTCCCGTGATGCTTCCCCTTCAATGAACATAACAATATCAGTTTAAGGAAGAAAGTCTTTACTGTGAGGGTGGTGAGGCACTGGAACAAGTTGCCTATGGAGGTGGTAGATGTCCCATCCCTGGCAGTGCTCAAGGCCAGAACACGTAAGGCCTTGAGCAACCTTGTCTAGTGGGAGATGTCCATGCCCATGGTAGAGGGAGCTGGGACAGGATGATCTTTAAGGTCCCTTTTGTGAGAAATATCTCTAATTAAAATTTAGAAGATGGCCAAATAAAGTGAAACAAAGAACTTTATTAACAGTGTGCTGGCTGCACTGAACTTGTGACCAGGTTCGAGCACACCTGACTGGGAGGGATGAGCCCTTTTAAGACCCCTCGATTTGCACAACCACTCCCTCAGTCCTCCCATGCTAGGCCTCACTCTTTTCTTTCTTAAAAGGTAATCTTCGCTTTCTGGTGCAGCCCACTGGTTGTCTTCATCCACCTACCAGGTTGTGTCCCTGCCGCGGCCACATGGTTCCCCTGGCAGTGAGCCCAGGCTGGTCTCACCACCCTACATTCTTCCCTGCTCGCCTTCCAACTGTAAAGCAAACAGAACAATAAGTAACAATAAGTAGCAGTAAGCAGGCAGAACTATAAGCAGAGCAATAGGCAACCCCAAGCAGAACTGTATGTAGCAGCAAGTAGGCAGCAGCAATAAGCAACTTTAAGCAGAATCACAAGCAGTCCACTAGTCCCTGACCACAAAATAGTTCCCCAGTCCTTTAAACAAAATGGCTCCCAAGTGCCCCAGCACGAGGCAGCCATGGAAACCCCTGCTTGTAATAAAACCGTCCTATTTATTTCCTACACTTTCAATCCCTTAACATTCAATGATTTCATGATTCTATGATCCACCAATCCTGAGATAAAAGTATTTTGGCATCTGTAAAAGGCTGCACTGAAAGAAACAGGCTAACATTAAACACAGACTTTCATTTTAGGTTAGTCGTATGGTAACACTTTATTCCTCTATGCAGACAAAGATTTGAAGAAGAAAATGACTTTTCCTAGATACATGATCATGCAAAAAAATCCCAATGACCTATGTGAAGATCACATGCGGAGAAGTATTTCATTCCCTATTGTTTCTTAATGTTTCATAAAACCCTGACAAAAAGAAACAAAAAGAGGAAAAAAATTATATGGCAATGAGCAGATCTGGTACAGAAAACCTGGAAATATGACTGTGAGGACAGGCTGTGGGTGAACTTTCAGGCTGCACAAGTAGGCAAAGCCGCTATCTCCTGAGGTTTGATTTTGCCCGGGAAATCCTTGAGTCTTGGGTGGCTGGCAGGATGGCATCAAAAAATTACAGTTTCTCCCCATACAAAATGTAATAAAAACCCCATTGTAGGAAAGCAAAAAAAACCCCACAACAATTCACCGAGGTCAAGAGTCCAAGTTTTGCAATAGACTCAACCCTGAGCCTGGCAGAGCAGTTTCGCTCCCCGAGCTCTGGATGGCAGTAGTTGCGAACGAATGTGAACCGCAGAGCGCGGCACCAGCAGCGCTCCGCGGGCAGCTCCCGGCTCCCTTCTCACCCCAGCATCGGAGGAGACATACATGCGAAGACAGTGGTTATTCCCTGCCAAAGGGAACCTTTCCTTCGGCTTTACCACCAACTTGTTGTTCAATGATACGTTATGCTTGGGCAGAGCAATGATTTCAATGTTCAAAAACCAAATACCCCTCACAAAGACCTGTTTGTGTACCCATCCCTCTACACCCACACCCTCGCGCAGACCAGACAAGTTTCTTGCACTGAACATGAGATTCATGCAGTAGAAATTTTCCTGAATGTCCAAGGCCGTGCATCTCATGTTTGCAACATAGCACCCTCTTTTCTGCAGCCTTTTGTGCAGCAGTTGTTCGGCACTGCACAGCCTTATCTGCAGACTTGTGCTCCTGAACAGGCACAAGGACCAGCATCCCACTGCCCTGCAGATGGGCTCAGACCAGTATGGAGCAGCATCCTGCTGCCCTGGAGATAGTCGCAGGCCCACCTGTGAGCTGTACAGCTGGAGGGGCTCCTGCTGGGCATCTGCCTGGGCCAGCCTGTGAGGGCCTGGCTGCCACTCCACCATAACCTGCACAGATGTTGTCACTTCTCAAGAAAAAAAAAGAAGAAAAAACCACAACATATTTGAAGATTTTTTCCCAGGCAAGGAAACACACAGGCACAGCTCTATATGAAATAAAAAACCTGATGGATTAAACCATAGGATATACCTGTACAGAATCCGAAGGCTATCCCTCAGTAGCAAGTCAGTACCAAGCTTGTGTTCTCAGATACCCTAAAACACACAGCAGTCAAAACTGTAAAGTATAATCTCTGCTTGAGGACTCAATGCATGCTGCAGGATGGGTTGCTGTAGAATGCACTAAGTGGATTCTCACCCTATTCCAATTCATCTGGTTGGGCCAAATGAGATTTTTAATGATAATGGTATTGAATAAGCAGCTCTGAAGGGAGTAAATAATGCAGAATAGACAGATTTGTGATCAGTGTAGCTAATGGTTATTCAAAATAAACACAAAAATTCAGAAAACTGGGTTCATCTGAGTCAATTGTCCCTAAGACCACCAAAGCTGTTTCCCTGGCGCAAAACCTACTGAGAAATTCAACAATCAAAACCCTCTGGTAGGCTGTACAACCTAAGGGGACTATTGCATAAAGGAGAGCAGGATTTACAAGAAAGTGTCTGAGAGGGAAACACTGTGATTGATTAGGAGACTATTACAATGATACAGGATTACTATAAGATGTTTGGGGAAAAGGCCAAAGACAAGGAAGGGAGGAACAAAGGCAGATCAGGGAAGAGCTAAAAAGATTGAGGTGTGTTGGAGCAAGGATATAAAAAAAGGCCATCTGCATGTGAGCAGGCTGCTGGTCAGTATGTTTGTGTGACTGAGCCCCATGGCTAATTGCCACTGTCTGTCCTATCCTCTTTTTAAATTCCAGTTTTTAACTACCTTCTGTGTGATTGTGTTCTCTATTCTATGTCTGTGCATCTGATCTGATAATGAACTCCAAATCAGACCAGCTGGTGAGTCAAATGAGCAGTCTGGGAGACAGGTATTGGGTGACCTTTGAAGGGCTTTTATCCTGATCATGCATTCTTAGGAGCTGGATAGGACTATGCCTGCGTGTGTGTTGTGGGTGTCTGTAAAGACTCAGGCTGAGAACAGATAGAAGCATGTCCAAGGCACCTAACACTCCCCATTCATAGGATAATGATGCCAAGACATATTTTTTGTGAATCTCTCCACTATTTTCCTGAAGCATATTTGCGCTATGACTAAGCATATTGACTCATTAGAGCGTACTAGACTACCAAGAGCCACAGGGTGAAGCCTCTGTAGTTTGTCATGTTAAAAACCTGAATGCAGAAGGTCAGAAGCAGCCCCTGAAGAGATGAATGATTGTTGAAATCAGCAGAGTTTCATACAGACTTCAGAAAGCTCTGAATTGGGTCCAAGCACATCACGGCAAGATTACTTAAAAATTTTATGCAACCTCCCAGTGTTACTATGAGAACTACTGCAATCCTGTGTGTCATTTCACGATCTGAGGAAGTTATTGACAACAGAGATGGCTGTTATGGGGACAGCTGTCTGTCAAAGAAAAGAGAGTACATGACAAAGACAACATCTGATTATGACAGATTTGTTCTTACACAAAAAAGAAGGTGTTTTCACATGCAGCCCTGAAAACACGCAGGTTTATTTAGGCTTTTAAAGCTAATGCCCCAGAACCAGAAGCTCAGGAACAAGCAACTGAATCTGGGGGCAGACTAAGACTACAGCAGGTATAACATAAAATTTTTTGGATTCAATACAAACAGGTCAGCAAAAGCGTATTATTTTAGACTTAATTATGATCAATGGGCCACTGTTGGTCTCAGACTTTTTAAAACAAAGGCTCCTTTTTCCTCCCTGCAGGACTCCAAAAAGGAAAAAAAATCTAAGCTAAGGAAAGTAAAACAAAACGGAGACAAAAGAATAGAAAGGGAACAGACCAGTATTGTACTTCATTTGTTCTCAATGATCCAAAACATGAATGTTTCAGTTCGGTGTAGAATCTCCTTGTGCAATCACATTCTGCTCTTGAATTCACGTTCCACTGCTTCCTTGAATTTGTTTTCTTAATGTTTTTTTTTGTAGATTCTTCAGAGCAGTACAGGGATAAGAGAACAATAAGTGATTTTTCCAAGAACAAACAGCAGCACAGTTACTATGAAATACAGCTCTTCTGCAGTTCAGTACTGTAACTACCCACACCCTCTCCTCCTTTTTCCAAGTGCTGTGTTTTCCTCTACGCTTTCATTTAAAGCATTTTCTAAAACCTAAAGAAATTCTTTAGAATAACTATCAATTGCTGCTAACAGTGGGTAGCAACCAGGTATTGACAATTGTGAAGGCCTAACACTAACACTGTTTAATTGCAGTGGAGTTGATCTAAATTGGGAGGGGTTCATCTGGCCTTTGATGAAAGCTGTCTGCCTCTTAACCCTGTTTAGAGCAGGTGTGATTGACATAGTATTTAAATCTACAGGAGCACCTGTCTGCAACAGCACATCTCTCCAGTGCCATTAAAACAGTATTCACAGCAGTGGAAAAAAAAATATATTTTAATTTTTAACATACATCTCCACTGACACTTGACATTTTAAGGGGTTAGCTTTCTTTGCATTTTAGGATGATGGGGAGTGAGGTAGGAACATGAAAATTACATTGATTCTTTATAAAACATGAATTCCAATTCCCTTTGTTTCTTCTTAGATATTAACATAGAAGCAGATCCTTCCATCTGAGGCTCAGAGAGGAACCACAGTAACCATCCAGAGCCACACTGATTTCAGTGGGCTCTTATGTCTGTCATCACAGCATAAATCAGACCCATAATATGGGATTTCCAAAGGTCAAATATTATGGCCTCTGTATGTATATATTGAGAATACAAGCATAAAAGATGCCCTAAAATTCAAAAGGAGGGAGTGGAAGCATCCTAATACAGAAACACACTAATCACGTTATCCTTTCCTTCAGGGAAAAAAAACCACTTAGAATATAGATCAAAAGTCAACCAAACTTAACAAACTTCTTCATATAGCTCTTTACAGAAAAGACTAGAAGCTTTCAAATATGCTATAGCACAAACCTGCTAGAGCTTGCATCCTGCTGTGGCCCTGCTGGAGCTTCGGCAGCATCCCACAAGCAGCAGTGGGTACTTGCTAAAGAGAGCTATTGCCATAACTCTTGGGTCACAGTAGAACACTGAAGTGCAGGTAATAGAAAACCCATTTCAGGTTTTGGTTTGGTTTTTGGCATGATTGCCAACAGCTGGTTGGTTGGGTATAGAGAGAAGATATCAGCTTCATTATGACACAGAAATGATCTTTGCAGAGCAACTTTCTAGTAATCATCAAATTATCAGTGAAGCGCTTTACTTTTCTTGCATTCCTCTTTCCTTTAAAATAAAAGCCACCATTAACTAGAATACTGTTACTCTAACTGAAGACAAGAAAGCCAAATGAGAGGTGTGAAAAAGCACCTTGTAGGGAAAAAATACAGCTCAAGTGGCTGAAGACTTCACAAGAAGTTCCACCTCAACATTAAGAACTGAGAGTGCTCAGCGTTTTGTTCCTTAAGTTGTGCTATGTTGGTGAGTATTACTGAAGAAGCTAGTCTGTAGAAGAAATTTTCCCAATGTGCAGGAAGGGAAAATTGCCATGTGTTTTTGTTGGGTTTATGATACAATGTGTACATCATGGAACACAGTCAAACTTTCATGTAACAGTTTGTTTCCAGGTTACTGACATTTTATAGGGGAATCACTGCATAGTTTTATGAAAACAAGGAACATATGCAAAACCCTTTAAAATGTGTAAGAGAAGAAAATAGATACAGCTTCTTTCTCACACTGCATGCATGCTACTTCCCATGCACTTCAAGGATGACAGAAATTTCAGCAAACTCTTTACTGTTCAAGGCTCATAAAACCTACATATGCTGCACGTTTCTGAATCAAGTTTTTGCATGTAGTGTGATCTGAAAATTTAATGCTGAAAATAATTATTCTCTGTGCTTTCCACTTGTGCTTTGACTTAATCTGCAATGAGGAGCCTCCAAACATTCTGATTTCTGTGAAACATCTGATGATTACACACTGTTAGCTCAATAATTGTGCTGGTAAACTCACTTTGGAGCCTTGGTCTGGAGACCATGTAGGCTTAGTAACTGCAAAAGGTAGGTGCTTTGCCACCCCCCACACCCTCCCACATGTGTCAGCCATCAGGGCAGCAGCTCCAGGGTATCAGGGAGATTCGTGCCTTGACACTGATGCCCCCAGCTCTGCCCTGGGAAAGAAACTTCACTCTGTGGTCTGAAAAATGCCTTGTGCCCTGGTAAGTCTGCCTGCTCCGCTCCACAGAGCAGCTCTTTCTGCCTGGGGACAGCTTCTTTCGCTGAGGCCAAAGCAGCTCATCCAGAAAATGATAGAAAGCATCTGCCCACTGTCAGCTTTTCCTTCCTCCTCCTCTTGTATTGCACTTGTTATGCTGGGTCTCAAGTCCTGCCACAAATGTAGAGATGCTCAATGCAGCCTGAGCATATTCATCAGTGTGAGTATTGCAGTATCTGTCAACATTTCCTCCACAATACTTGAGAGCACTTTGAAAACAGTGCAGGCTGCCTCTCAAAAATCCTAGTGAAACATGGCTTTCACTCAGCTCTGTGCTCCAGGGTCATATACTTCTTGGGCACGTGATTCCAGCAAGCCTCATCATCTGTGGTCCCAATCCAGAAGCACTTTAAGTGCAGATAACCTCATCTAAGCATAACTATAGATCTTAATATGGATGCACAATATGTGTTTTCTGCACAGGTTCACAATCCTCCCTTTTTGAGGGCTTTTCAAAATCTCATTCTTTCGTCCAATTTATGTGCAGCCACACAAACAGCTGAATCAGCTCTCCTGAAAGGAACTTCTGAGAAAGGGCAGGAGTGAGTATTGTGGTGATGGGGGATTCAAAGGCAGGTTTTTTTCACCTTTTTTTGCTACCAAGGGACATGTAACCTCAACTTCTACAAGGTTATTAGATTCACCCCCTTCACCACTGAGATTCCCCTGCACAAGTCCCAGAAGTATTTTAGGTAGCTCTGGGAGTGAGTCATGAAGACTTGTATTTTAACCTTCTAAGTGATGTATGTTATGCAATCTGGGACAGAAAGGTCAAATCACAATTCAAACAAAAAGGAAATGCATACATTTCCCCCTCCTGTCAACAATTTCCACCCAGCCCAGTCACCTCAAGCTATGGGTACTGGTGAACTGAGTTTATTCTGGGCTCTGACCCAGATACACCTCTCCCTTTTTCCTTCTCCCTTCCCAGTTAAGACTACAGCAACTACAGGCAAACTAACAGAAAGCTACAGAGTGAGAGATATCTACTTATGTATTTTTCATGAGGCAATAATAAATGCAAACATATACATCTAGCATAATGTTAGGCCCAGAGACCCAGACCACCAGGACTAGCATTCCACAAAGCAATCGGCTTGCCTTGCCCCCTGCCACATTCCTGCACGCAAAATAACAGGCTTTGGAAAAGGATATACTGGGGGCAAAGCCTCACACTGGCACCAAGCACTGTGGTTGCCCAGCTCACACACACATATAAAGGCCAGTTCCAGCTAGGTGTGGGTCAGAGACCACGTGTAAGTTGGCTGCCCTGGGAACAGACATGGGCTAGACTGGCTCCAGCTTTAGCTTCGTATGATGTACAAGAAATTTTTCCTGCATTGCTCTTGTTCAGTGGAATTCATGTGTGGAGCCAAAGATTGCTCCACAACCATCTCAGAAAACTGTGATTCATGGCACTTGAAAGGGGCCATCCCAGTGCCTGTCCCCTAAAAAAACCCCAGCTATGCCAGCAAAACTCTGTAGTGGCAGTGCTTGTACAGGTGGAATCCCATTCAGGTGGGTGTTCCTAGCAGACACTTGTACACTTACATTGTCTCTTCAGTGTATTACTACAAACACTTTTAATTTAGTCATCTAGAACAGGATTTCAGTACTACAGAAAAAAATTGGTTTCCATGTTATTTCTGGAAGCTTATATAATTTTTCCACTCCCTCCTTTCCTCTGGGCATCACCTCCTCTTTGCATAATTTCATTAAGATGTATAAACTCTCCAAGATATATATCAGGGGAAGGAGAGTAAAAGCAGCAGTCACAGAAAAAACACCGAAATACCACTTTCCATCCAAGTTACACAAAAAAAATTGCAAAATCCCTTGGCACCAAAAGCATAGGGAATCAGAGCCACCTACCAGCAACTGAAGGTGGGGTTCCTGTGTGTGCAGTCAGGGCTGTGCCAGCAACATTAGGAAAGGTATTTTTACAAACATTCGAAGTAGAGTCTCAAGACCTCTTGCTAACATCCATGACATGGCTGCTCAGACCAGCCAACTTAAAGGCAGCACTGCAACACCACCCTCCACTGTGATCATACCCTGCCTTTGCTTATATGTTTAACTCAAGTGAAAAGGTCAGAGACCTCCATGTATTTTTTTAAAATACAGAAACCAAATTAACTTGCTGTTAAATGTGGGACAGGGTCATCAGCTGTAGGATGAGGAGTTTTGAATCAAAGCTTCGCATCTTTTTCACCTGAGGATCTGAGTCAGGATAGGGAAAGAGAAAATTAAAGTTCTTCATGAAGCCCTATAGCCCTGTAAGGCCCGATTCCTTCAGCAAATTGTAGGCTGACCAAAACAACCAAAGTAATGTCCCATCTGCCCAGGATCCATCCAGCCTCATGAAGGCTGTGCCAGAGCAACCATGTCTCCACGAACCTTCACCAGTTCCTTCCTGAAAGAAGACACAAAAGCTGTTCATTTAAAGCCACTTCCCAAATGCTCTAAGTCACAAGGAAAGCAAAGCTATATATCAGCAAGCATGGATACGGCGTTGTCAATTTTAACCCTTGGATTAAATCAATACTCTCACCATTCATGGGAAATGAAAACGAATTGATGGTGTTGGATCTTTTCCCAGCAGGCTAGTGTCCCCTGCTCAGTGCCACTGGAATGAATATCACCGTCTGGCTCTCCTCTTGAGGCTTCAGCAAAATACACAGAGCAGACAAAAGGAGTGACCTGCTTCCTCAGCCATATGTCTGCTCCCTGCCCAATTCTGGATCTAGGCACCAGGGCAGGGCTGACCAGCCAGGCACTCACTGCTGTTTCCTTGGCTGAACCAGATCAGCAAATACAGAGACAACATAAAGCTTGGAAACTTTTTTTCAGCCACGAGCATGTTTCTTTGTCTGTAACTCATGTCTTTGTAGACATTTATCCCCAAATGGCATCTGAAGATCCTCATTTGGTGTATGTATTTTCTTTTGGCATTCCTGGGACAGTGAAAATCAATAAAGGCAGTTTCACTTGCAGGAGTTTGAAGCCATAGTGTTTGCCCAATAAACATCTCATACACACAGTCCTTCATTGCTAAAGAGAACTGAAGTAAAAATATTGCAGGCACTTCTCCTGATCTTAGAGCTTGTAAAAGGATATTCTCACACAAGCTGAAGGGCTGGATTGTGCAACTTTTGCAGTACTGAGCGCTTACCTGAGCACAACCAGCCCATTGAAAAGGTCTGGCACAGAATTGTTCCCCACAAGTTTGTGGTTTCAATAAAACAGCAAATTAGTTAATGAAGGATAGCAGCATCTCCAAAATGGCCCTGAATTTTAGAGGGTGCTTTTTTTTCTGATGAAGTTAGCATAAAGGCACAGTAAAATCTTTTCAGGAAGAAAATGGTCTCCACATACTGATAGGGTGCTACAGTAGAATCCTTCAGATGCATGGAGGTTTTGCACTAGATTTTATTAGGGAGGAAAGATTTACGCAGAATTTTTCCTGTTCCAAACTGGCAGCAAAAAAGAAGGAAGTGTTTACCTGAGTGATTAATTTCAGCAGCTCCAGGACAGCATGTAGTTTCTTCCAGGGAAATAATCTGGATTCAGAAATGTATAAAAGACCACTCCAAATGGAGTGAGCAGTTTTCAAAAGAAGCATCTGGAAAAAGCAAGTTTTTAATCATTTTGGATATGAAGTCAAAAGAATTCAGAACAAACATTTTGGTAACAGAAAAACATTCTTTAAGGGGGATTAGAGCAGGAACAGTTCATCTCTACCCCAGCTGGTGATCAAGCTCTGAGGAACAACCAGGTTTTTTAGAGGATTGTTTCACTGGAGCTCATTTAATCATACTCTTTTTAACGACAGAGCTTCAGGAGGTGAGCGGTGAAGAGGCAGAACAGCCCTGTGAACAGTCAGCACATTGAACTGCAGGATTTCTTTGCTTTTTGTGATGCGTTAGGACCAGTTCCAAACTCCTCATAATCATTGCATTAATCTCCCAAGCTGTGCCTCACTTTGACTCTGCAATACTAGAAGCAGGAAATTTCCACCACCTCGGCCTTTGACAGCCACTTAGTGACTGTTTTTGCGTGAGACCTCATAGAAGGAAACAAACCTGCATTTCCAAATGTGGTAACTGCTCCAGGAGACAGCAAGGGTCTTGCTCTATGTACTCAGTCTGAAAAAAA